ATGCCCAGTTCAGTCACTGAAGCCTCCAAGTGGATTAGGAGAGATTCCTGCCTGATGCCCAGGACAATCGTAGATGCCAGTTGGTTGGCAGGACTGGTGTAGACACACCAAGGATCTGAGTCCGCATAGACTGGCTCTTATCTTCCTATTGTAATCACTATATTACCCTGAACACACCCAGTTTTGGCTGATTTCAGATCCTAAGCGGTATGTGTTATGCTTGGTTAACATTTCAATGGGAAAAAAGTCTTGCCTGGAATTATGAGGGGGTCATAGATGTCAATAAGAGTTGACGTTGTTGAGTTAGTTAGATGGATCAATGATGGATCAGTGTTCGGAGTTGGCAAAAGGCAACTTGCTGTGCTCCAAAACATACTACAGAAATACACTCGTCCAGGGGTAGGCAACCTTTCCCCTTTAAGGGCCGAGGGACTTCAGCTCCCAGAAGCCTCTGCCATGTTGGCCAATAGTCCCATGTTGGCCAATAGCTCCTGGGATTCTGGGAGCTGAAGTCCCTCGGCCCTTAAAGGGGAAAGGTTGCCTACCCCTGCGACTCGTCCCTCCCAATTCACAGGGGATCTGTTCCAGACCCCCCTGCGAATCGGAAATACTGCAAATATTGAAGTCCCATAGGATATAATGGCTGCACACTCATAGGCACATGCGCCATTTTGTTCTTTGGCGCTTGCCATCCACGAAAGACCAAGGGTCGTGAATGGCAAGTCCGTGAATGGCGAGGGATAAGTGTAATCTAGGTTGAGACTGCTTTAACTGCGCTGGCTCAATGCTAGGGAATTCTGGGAACTGTAGTTTTGTGAGACCATTTAGCCGTTCTCTGTCAGAGAGCTCTGGTGCCACAATAAACCACAATTCCCAGGACTCCCCATCACTGAGCCAGGGCAGTTAAAGCCATCTCAAACTGGATTATTTCTGCAGTGTGTTTTGGACCTTTGTATTAGAAAGACGAGTTGCATCTGCACTATGGAAACAATGCAGTTTGACATCCCTTTAACTGCCATGGCTCCATGCTGTGGAATTCTGGGATTTGGAGTTGTTGTGGCACCAGAGTGCTCTGACGGAGAAGGCTGAATAGCTCACAAAACTACAATTCCCAGGATTACATAGCATTCAGCCAGGGCAGTTAAAGCTGTGTCAAACCAAAATAATTCTACAGTGGAGATGAAACCAAAATGCAGATGCAGCCAAAGCGACCTACATGCATTTTTTGGAAAATGGCCCATGAAAAAATAGTGTCGTTTAAAATGTAATGCTATTGGCTCCCATTTCATAACCTCATGCCTTTTTATATACTATATATACTCATGTATAAGTCTAGAAATTTTAGCCAAAAAATTAACCCCAAAAACCTGGGTCAGCTTATCCACAGGGTCAATGGAAGTACTGTACTTTAACTCATATTTTAAAAAAGAAGAATTTTTGAAAGGCAAGGGCATAATCTGTCCTGGAAGCACTGACCCCTCTCTATTCTCTCATCCATCCAGCTTTTAATATGAGCACAAACAGTTACACTGGCTGGAATTTTTAAAAGTTCTTTAGCATTGTTTTCCTTAGCTTCGTCCTTTAGCTCCTTGGCTACATGACTCTAAGTTTTACCCTTGATTGATCCTCAGGTCATATCAAAATCCATAATTTTTGCCCTCAAACTTGTCCTTGACTTATACATGAGGTCGACTTATAGTCGAGTATATATGGTATTTGCACGGATGTCCCAGGTATATTTAGCCTCGGGAAGAGAAGGTTAAAGCATGCTAGTCATGCTTAAATCATAGAATCATAGAATCATAGAGTTGGAAGAGACCCCAAGGGCCATGCAGTCCAACCCCCTGCCATGCAGGAACTCCCAATCAAAGCATCCCCGACAGATATTGAGGAGGGAGCAAGCTTGTTTTCTGCTGCCCCAGAGAATAGGACACAATGGAGCAATGGATGCAAGCTCCACGAAAAGAGATTCCACTGAAACATTAGGAGGAACTTCCTGACAATAAGAAGTATTTGACAGTGAAATATGCTGCCCTGGAGAGCGATGGATTCTCCTCTGGAGGATTTTGAACAGAGGCTGGATGGCCATCTGTCGGGGGCTGCTTTGATTTTGAGTTCCTGCATGGCAGAATGGGGTTGGATTGGATGGCCCTGGTGGTCTCTTCCACCTCTATGATGCTATGATTCCTCCAATTCCTACAATTATAGGGCTGTGGACTAAAACTGTCCCCACTCTTTAATCACGTCTAGTACTTACTCATACGATGCGTACTGTGAGCATGCCATGTGTACAGATTTCTAACACCCCACAGGCAAACTTTACCAGATGTAGTTACAGAACCTCAAAGTGATTAGTTAAAAGTAAGTAGGTACGTAGAATTAGGACTCTGGACACTGTCGTCCAAAGAAGTAATTTTTCCATGTTCTGATCTGTATAGTGTCACATTCCTCAAAATTACATAGAATCATAGAGTTGGAAGAGACCCCGAGGGCCATCCAGTCCAACCCCCTGCCATGCAGGAACTCTCACTCAGAGCATCCCCGACAGATGGCCTCTGTTTAAAAACCTCCAAAGAAGGAGACTCCATCACACTCCGAGGGAGCATCTTCCACTGTCAAACAGCTCTCACTGTCAGGAAATTCTTCCGAATGTTGAGCTGGAATCTCTTTTCCTGTAGCTTGCATCCATTGCTTTGAGTCCTATTCTCTGGAGCAGCAGAAAACAAGCTTGCTCCGTTTGCAACATGACATCCCTTCAAATATGTAAGCATGCAGGAGATGGATATAATGTTTGTGCACTTTACCACTGGCATGTTCTACCTGCTACGACACCGAAATGTCTCTCCAGATGGGACAGGGCACATCTGGACTCCCTTTATTCTGCCTACAAAAGATGTTACAGCCTCACAGCAGACCGAGATAACCTAGATCGGTGTTACACAAAGTTGTGGTCCATGGATGGGTGCCAATCCCTGAGCGATCTGCTGCCAGTCCATGGAGAGCTGCTGGGAAAGAAGAAAAATACTGTAGCCAATGGGCACAAATATCCCACTCACTATTTGTCTTTTACACGGGCTTTGCCCTCAGTCCCCCGACATTCAAGGAGGGGATGGGGACTCTACCTGGGTCAACTTCTTTTTTTTAAAGCTTTATTCATATTTAAGCAGAGGCTGGATGGCCATCTGTCAGGGATGCTTTGATTGGGAGTTCCTGCATGGCCGGGGGGGTTGGACTGGATGGCCCTTGGGGTCTCTTCCAACTCTAAGATTCTATGATTCTATGAGTCTATATAAAAAGAAAACATATAACACATAACAAACAAAAAGCCAATCATTACAAGCATGCATAACTATACCTAACCTACCTATACAAAGTATGCATATTTAACAGTCTATATTTAGGTCTATACAAACATCCAATTTATCCATCCATATCCCGGTTACCACCTCACAGACTATAAACCAAATAGAAAAGAAAAAAAGAAAACTTTCTGAGCTTCGACTCGAGCGCTCAATTTACCCATTCCTATTTTCATCTTTGACGCTATCTATCTATCTATCTATCTATCTATCTATCTATCTATCTATCTATCTATCTATTCATGCCCATTTATTTATCCCATCTGGAACTCTCTTATTGGAAAAGAGGCTTCCGTCCTGTTATTCTTTTTCAATATAGTCTAATGCACTGAGACCCTTCCAAAAATAATAAAATAATAGTAATAATACTAAATTAAAAAAAAATGTTTAGTCCATTAACCTGCGAACAGGGTCTCATATTCACTATTCTTCAAGAAATTGGTTAAGAGGCTCCCAAATTTCCTTCTGTCTGTTCCAATTTCTGTGTCAACTTCAAGACCACTTTAAGCATCTTTGCAAGCAAGATGCAAGCCTGTGCCTCTCATGCTATCACTGTTCTGCTTGATTTTTAACAACTTTGCCAGTGAGTTTGGGAAGCTTGCACCATGTCTTTTCTGCCTCTGAGATATCACAGCGGTGTGCATTTTCAGTCTTGTTCTGTTCTGATTCGTGAGATGATCATTCTTCCAAGCTGCACCTGAACATGCCAAGAATTGAACCTGAGGCCTGCGGCATGCAAACCATGTGCTCTGCTAGTCAGCCACAGATTCCCAGTATAGCACTTTGACATTGGTTGCACATTTGTTGCAGGTGTTTCCTGAAGAAATTGTCATTCAAAGATGCTAGGAGGGACACTAAAATGGTGAAGGGTCTGGAAACTATGAATCCCTATGAGGAACGACTTAGGGAGCTGGGGATGTTTAGCCTGGAGAAGAGAAGGCTGAGAGGTGATATTATAGCCCTCTTTAAATATTTGAAGGGATGTCATACCGAGGAGGGAACAAGCTTGTTTTCTGCTGCTCCAGAGACTAGGACCCGAAACAATGGATGCAAGCTGCAAGAAAAGAGATTCCACCTCAACATTAGGAGGAACTTCCTAACAGTAAGGGCGGTTCAACAGTGGAACACACTCCTTCCTCGGAGAGTAGTGGAGTCTCCTTCCTTGGAGGTCTTTAAGCAGAGGCTGGATGGCCATCTGTCAGGGATGCTTTGATTGGGAGTTCCTGCATGGCAGGGGGTTGGACTGGATGGCCCTTGTGCTCTCTTCCAACTCTAGGATTCTATGATTCTATGATTCTCTCAAACACACACACATGCACCACACAAATTAGGAACACCTACACTACAGTGAGGAATTAACTCAGTTTTATAATTATAATAATAATAATAAAATTTATTTATACCCCGCTTAAATGAAGACAATCTAAGTTCCACTTGGAGTAGAGTTGCCATGTTTTCAAAATAAAATTCATGGCATGCACAGCTCACAGTCAGGAAGTAGCTATCAGCACTTAAATACTAAATAAAAAGCACTGGTTTTAGTTCACCACCGTATTGCCCACATTCTCCAAATGTAAATCATCTTACGATGCACTTTATGGAATGTTGGTTCTTTTTTGGTGTGCATCCACAATCCTGAGAGCCAGCATGGCACAGTGGTTTGAGTGTTGGACTAGGACTCTGGAGAACAGGGTTCGAATCCCAGCTCAGCCATGGAAAACCATTGGGTGACCTTGGGCAAGTCACGCTCTCTCAGCCTCACTGGCAAAGTCCCTCTGAAGAAACCTGCCAAGAAAACACCATGACAGGTTCACCGCCTTAGGGTTGCCAAAAGTCGGAAGCGACGTGAACAACCACATCATCGACAACCCCAAATCCATTTTAATTAAAACAAAAACCTCTTGATAACTATAATTCAAATTCAAATTAACCTAAATATTATTTATTTATTTATTTATTTATTTATATCCCGCCTTTAGCCAAGGTGGCTTACAATTTGGTTCAGTTTACAGTGCATCTGTTTCTCTCATCACTCCGACACCCAAAAAAATATGGGATTTTTGTATTTTAATTTATTATTTTTGGCATCTTGTTCAGTCTAGGTAAGGGACAAGCTTTCCAGCCTTTAAATAAGGAGTGTCTCATATGATAAGGGAGCCTTGGAAACCTTGAGACCCCAAGATGACAGGGAAAAATTAAGTATTATATTCACAAATAAAGCTTGATTTCCCCATATGGTCTGTCTGCTTAGAGTGGGCTAAGAAGGCATGTGTCATTTCTGAAGTAACCAGGAGATGGCGCCCTTGGTCCACAGATAGCAAGGCATGTTGTGGCTGGGCTCTATCTCTCTATCTCTCTATCTGAACAGCTGCCTGCCCTCCTCCTGCCCTGCTTGAATTAATGCCCAGCAGATGGATGGCACACAGGACAGAAAAGCATCCTAATCTCTGAGACAGCTCTATTTTAAATATGATCTTGGCCATCTACATCTTCTGCCCTTCCCTCCAACTAGCCCCAAAAGAAAACCAAGTAGTAGTTGCAGATACTAGTGGAATATTATTTATTGGCAGGAGCAGAAAATAAAACAACATGGGCACCAGTCCCGCTCAGTCCGTTCAATGCAAAACTGTTTCCGATTATTAACTTTATTTTATATCCCCAAGACGGGGACTGACGCATTAGAAAGATGACAATTGAAAGCATGCAGAAAACCAAATGAAGCTTTCCATCTTATTATTATTATTATTATTATTATTATTATTATTATTATTATTATTATTATTATTATTATTATTATTATTATTATTATTATTATTATTATTATTATTATTATTATTATTATCTACCTCTTAAAATACATATAACACTTTATACACACATCTACAATACAAAACTACAACAAAACAATCCAATAATAACAAACATACATAAAATATGACTTCCCTTCCTTTACTTTGGATAGATATTAGTTACAAATATTTCAACTTTCGTATATTCCCATTATTTATATATTTTGATATTCCTCTTATCATTCTGTGTCTATTTCATGATCTGAACATAATGCTTCATAATTTTTTCTTTTCTTTATCTGTTACCCATCATATATAAGTATCTGATCAACTGTTTATCTTATTTGTTTATTATCAAGTATGTACTTTGTTTATATTCCTATATTTTCTCATTTCTCTTCGGCCCATTTACTTTGTCTTTCATGAATCTTTCAGGGCAATCACACTATTTTCTCCCCATAATTCTTTAAAATATTTTGTAATCGGAGACCATAATTCTTTTTCAAATCTATTTCTATTTTGTCCTTTAAGCTTTCCATCATATTCATAACCTACACTCTAAAAAGATGTTTCAGAGTTACACGGTAGAATAGGGCCGGCATGGTGTAGCTGTCTGAGTGTTGGATTCGAGATCAGGATTGGATTCCCTGCTCAAGTGCAAGAACCAAGGGTGAGCTTGGGTGAGTCACACTCTCTCAGCCTCAGAGGATGGCAACGGCAAAGCCCCTCTGAAGAAATGTGCCAAGAAAACCCTATGATAGGTTCACCTTAGGGTCTCCATAAACCAGTTGTACAATTTTATCTGCCAAGTTATGCTGGAGATCAGGGTTTGATTTGCCACTCAGCCATAGAAACCCATTGGGTGACCTTGGGCGAGTCACACACTCTCAGCCCCAGGAAACCCTAACAGCCTTAGGATCACCATAAGTTGGAAATGACTTGAAGGCACACAACAACAACAATTGGCCAAAGCGTGTTACACATGTGTTCAGATTCTTCTACAAATCCACTTATGGCACGGGCGAGCTATGTGTGGGGGTCCAGCTATTTAGGGACTACAGTTCCCATGATCCCTCACCACTGGTTACTGTGGCTGTTGCCAATGGGAACTGTAGGCCAAAAACATCCAAAAGGTCATAGTTGCTCACCTTTGTCTTAAAGGAGATGTAGACTCATCATTCGCTCAAGGTGGTTTTATAGCCCTTGAGCTCCTTGGATTGTCGCTGTTGTTGTTGCTGTTGCTGTTGTTGTGTGCCTTCAGGTCCCTTCTGACTTATGGCAACCCTAAGGCAAACACATCATACCAGAATTTCTTCTGAAGCTGAGAGAGAGTAGGACTTGTCCAAGGTCACCCAGTGGGTTTCTATGACTGTGGTGGGCGGGGTGGGCAGGAATTCGAACCCTGATCCCCAGGGTCATAATCCAACACTCAAATCATGATACCACACTGGATCTCTCCTTTTTAACCCCTCTCCCCCAAAAAATTAAAATAGGAAATTGAAGTACTTCTGGTGACCCTAAGGTGAACTTATTATAAATAAAACCACCTTGAGCGAATGATGAGTCTACATTATAACCCCTAAGGGTTATAAATAAGAATTATTATTATTATTATTATTATTATTATTATTACAGGGTTGTAGGGAAAACTGGAGGTAAGGGGATTAGGGTATTTTATCATGTTGTTTTATAGCTGTATTGTTGACTTTCGTGATTATTACCCACCTCAATCCTTCGGGGAGAGATAGGTAATAAATAAAATAATAATAATAATAATAATAATAATAATAATAATAATAATAATAATAATAATAATAATAATAATAATAATAATAATGTAGTAGATTTGCCTCCTTGACTCCTTCAAAGAAGAGTGGGCTCTTTGCATGTTCTTGTTTTGCCTCTTGAAGGGCTGGGTTTTCTTTTGTAGAAACCTCTAGAAACATCTGGTCTAACATCTGGCCAGGAGAGTGCATAGTCTGCTCAGGATCATTTCTGTACCATCCTCTATCATTATTAAGAACTTTGCCTGACAAAGAAGCCAGCGGAGCTACGAAACCTTGCAACATCTATACTGTGTATTTTGGGTGGCCCCATAAAGGTTATCCCTCTTTGGTGGATTTGGGGTGAGGCTGTCCTTTGCTATAAGGCTAGCATGGCTACCCCTAGATATGGAGTCTGCTCAGTTGGCAGTCTTGCAAAGTGGCAAAGTTGCTAAATTGCAAAGTTGCAAAATTGCAAAATTGTAAAATTGCAAAATTGCAAAATTGTAAAATTGCAAAATTGCAAAAAGCAAAACCTAACCAGCAAAGCCGCCTCTCTCTCCCTGGAGTATGAAGGAAGTGGGCAGGGAAGGGGTCTGAGGTGCGAAAGGAAGGGGGCCCTTTGAGGAGGGGCTGGATTTATGGCTTGGGGGAGCGAGCGAGCGTCCGGCAAAGGCGCCTGGACCCTGGCAAATGGCTTTATGGTGCATCTGCATCCTTTGAATCTTTGGAGGAGGCAGAGGCAGTCAAATGGCACCAGCTGGGCCATGAAAAGGCAGGCCACAAAACAGCTTTTGTTTGAGGCCAAGGTTTCCCTGGAGAGCTGCATCAAAGAAGGAGGAGGAGGAGAACCCAGCATCCAGCCGGATCTTGGAGGCTTTCTTCCCCTTGGCCTGCCCACCCCCTTCAGCCCCAGGCCTTCGCAGCAGGGCACAAGGGCATGCAGAGAAGGGGAAGGAGGCCACACTTTGCACCCTGCAAAGAGCAAACACGCTTCTGGGGGAGCGCTGGAGCCTGTCCAGTGCCTCTGAGCATGGGCAGAGGGAGGGAGGGAGGCATGGCGGAGGGCAGAAGGCCAGAAACTGGATTTGTGCCT